CATTATGATGGTGATTTTTCTTTTGCAACAACTTGTGAGAATTTCAAAGCTGTTCTTTAACACTCAACACTGGTCTCTCAATCTCCCGTTGGAGAACCGCGAGCTTCCCCATGATGGTATCAAACTTACTGGTGTTTTCATTCTTGTGCTCAGAGAGCCGATTCTGAGAACTCACAGCTGCAGTGAGCTGTTCCACGATGTAATCCAACTTTCGCTCAGAGGTGTTATTCTGAGTATTCACGGCAGCTGTAAAGCACGAGGGGGGGGGGCTAATAATCGGCTCAGTCATTTTTAATGATCGCTGAAAGCCGAGATCGTAATTTAGATTAAAATTAGATTAATTGAGCAGACCTATCGTCAGTCACACTCCATTAGAAAAGGTCATGCACTGCATTGTGACTCATGATAGACACAAAATCCAATCCAAGTAGAAACTGAACTCCCAGTGACAAACAAAAAGCCTTCAAATAGTGTTTAAATATGAGTCTCGTGAGTTTTTTGCTGTCCAGACTTTAACAGTGTGAGATGACCAAAGTGAATTTGACCCGTTCCTGAAATTAAAGTAGAATTTCTGTATCCAGGAGTTCATCTCATTTCTCATTCGCAGAGCCAGCTTCCTGTGGAGCTCGCCAAAACAAGACGGCACAGCTGAGATGAGCGAGCTCGTCAGTGACCCAGCCAGGGAAGCCAGGCTGTGTGTCTACTATCATCACGTAAGTGTGACTCGATGGAGTCTCGGGCACGTACTGCTTTCCTGACATAACAGAAATCTTTCTTCTCTCCTGAAATTTCAGCTGTTGAGTGAGATTAGTGCAGTTGTCACTGATCATAAAGGTGCTTTGAGAGTGCACCGACCGGACTTCCAGGATGTCCTGTCTACACTGAAAGTGTGGGCGGAGCAGCTCGACCTGCTGAAGGTAACAACAACAACCTGCGAAACTGTCTCGAGCAGGTTAGGGATGTGACGTTTGCTTTGAAGATGAGCTTCCTGTGTATGCGTTTGTACGTAGGGTCTTCAGTGCAGTTTAAAAGAGCTGTCTGTCAGACTAATGCCCTTACAACCATGTGATGGTGGTGATAACACTGACGAAGCAGCGGAGGTTGGAGACATGTTGCTGCTTGTAGACGCCATGCTGGAAAACGCCTCGGCTGATGATAAGGTAGAAGTTTGTTGCTCTTTTTTGTGCTACTCCATCAGGCTGTTGTGTGAACGACACTGCGGCGGCTCACATGTCTGAGCGTGTAC